TATATATCTCCTTCAAAGGCTAAATTCCCCAACATAAAGAAAAACACAAATAAGGAGACTGCAGATAAGTGATTATGGTACTAGAATCTATTCTTACACTGTAATAATAGAACTATACAGTACACTCTTGCAAGGCTTTAAAGAAATCTGTTACTGCCTTCAAAAACAGACATGCAAATAGCTACAGTACTTATTTGGCTGTATGTGGCAAGTAAGAATCAATTGGGACAGAGTATGTGGAAATGCTGGTTTAAAATGAAAAAGCAAACTTCTACAGTTATGCAGCAGTTCAGACAGAGACCCACAGAGCTGATTAGTATAGTTATTTTACAAGTCACCCTCAAATGAATGGTACCCCTTATAGTATAGTTAGTTTTTAGCCAAATCTAGTCAAATTGACCTCACATTGGTATAACTGGCATACAGTCTCGACAGAAATTGTCAGAGACTCTTGGTTTAGATCACACTTGTCCAACCTGCGGCCCGAGGGCCGCATGCGGCCCAGGTCGGCTCATAATGCGGCCCAGTGCAATTTATTATTTTTAAAGAAATTCCAAAGTTTCAAGTTACACTGCCGGTGCTTGCGGCCGGAATGTGGCCGGGGCATGTCACAACAGTAGAGGGGGAGAGAGGGAAGGAAGGAAGGAGTGGGAGGGGAGGGAACAGGGGGGCTGCGTGACTGCATTGCGCCGTCCCCGTCAATAGGTGGACCCCTTTCTGGCCCCATAAAGCCGCCAGAGTCAAAGCTGGCAGCCTCTGCTGTCTGAGATCGCAGCTGCCAGTAAGCGCACTTGGAGCGGGGCTGAGGAGGATGGCTAGCCCTGCCCCCCCATGCAGCCCAAACCAAATGTATGTGCGGCCCAAACCAAATTTTCATCTTCTAATGTGGCCCAGGGAAGGTGAAAGGTTGGACACCCCTGGTTTAGATAGAATAAAAATGTTTCTCTTTATTCACATAAATCTTGTCAAAATAAAAACAACACATGTTCACTGGTTACTTATTATGGTGTCTTTAATACCTGCTGGCTTCATTAGTTGGTTCTTTATTAGTCTGGTTCACTTCGCTTACTGGTTACATCTATATTCTGAACACTGACATTACTTACTTGCCTCTAACATTTCTAAACACTAACATACTCATGTTTAAAAACTGACACTAAATCCTGACAGACCCTGACTGAGGTAAAAAGGCAGGTAACAGAAACTGAGTTACAGAGGGAAACAACTGTTTACTCTAAATGACTGATATTCACCTCAAGGCCCTCCCATTGAAACATCTTAAAAGCACAATATGTTGATTGCTATTCCAACAAAATTGTCCCTAGGTAAACAGACAAAGTAGATTTACTGGAAATTTGTGATATATTTTATTCTAGGCCATAAATTACCGAGACAGGTATACCCAAACCACGGTTTATGACCATTAACTTTCATGGTAACCTTGAAAAATAAGGTCATAAAATAATATTACAGGTGTCTAGAAATTTCATTTTTTTCCAGTTTAGAAGACAAATTTTATGTTCAATTTATTTAATCAGTTCTCATATACTTAGTCGCAACAATACTCAATCCATTGGGTACCTTCCAGCTCTGCAGTTCTAAGATGATGACGATTAAGAGAGTAAGGAACGTTCTTTTCAAACAACAAAAAGAAGACCAAAATTAACAAGAGGAACCCTCTCTATCAAGGATAAGGCATAATGCTGCAAATTACAGGGAGAGAATTTGGGGTTAAAATATCACAGGGAACCTTGACAATTCTTAAGAGAGCAATTTAGTATTGGAATATCTAAAGAAGAGAAGTACTTCCTGGGATGGGATAATTCAAGTAATCCCATCACTTCCTTCCAACTCTGGACTACTCCACACCTACAACTTGTCTTAACACTTAATGAGTCCCCAACAACATGTGTCACCTGATTACCTGCCTGGCATTTGAGGCCTTGGCCAATAGGAGCATTCTTTCAGCAACGCCTAAAACTATAACAACTTGTTTACACTCGTGTCTCTGAGTAATGAGCATGCATGTGTGAACAAGCCCTCCTGTTCTTATGTTTATTCTTGTCAAGTAGCATATGGAAGTGGCTTGCAATGGTTTCCAGTAACTTAACCAGGAGGAGAGTTCAGAGCCTCTGGAGCAAATCTAGAGTGGATCTCTGGACAGAGTTGCTCATTCTTAAATGGCACTGAGTCAAATCCTCCAATGGCATATCCTGTATAAGGCGAACCCACCATTTCTTCTCCTCCTAGTGCCCCAAAATATTACAGGATGATCCCTAAAAAACAGGATTTGATAGGTTCAGGAAGATGCCTACACAATACACAGTAATGAACTGGCAATTCTGCAAGTGCGAGAGCTTCATCATGACAGTCCCCCATACCTTGCTCCTCCCACAACAGAAGTGTAAAAAAAAAGGAAGGCAGCTGGATCGATCCATATCAACAACAGAAGAGGTCTTTTGCAAAGGTAGTATCTCTTAAATGTCCATGCAATACCAATCCACACACACCCCCCAGCTTGCAACAATACAGTCTATACTTCCTGGGGAAATCAATTTCTTTACCAGCTAATGCAGATATGCTCAGGAGAAACAGAAGCTGGGCCAAAGGGAAGATGATGTCATAGTCCCTCCTATTCAGAAGGTCCTGGGACTTCCACCCTCTGAGCTCTGGCTCCACCATACGCAATATGCACATATATTAGGATTTCTCCGGTAGGGCAGAATAGGTTCCTTATACAAACAGAAGGCCCTCCTCTGGCCTCTCTAGGAGGGACAGTTACAAATCCATCATTGCAATCTAGATCCTGTATTATGCATCACATTTGGGGGCACTGACGGCGTGAACTGCTAGCTGCCTTGTAGCCACTGCATACTTAAATACATTTTAAGTAAAATGGAAGGACTGTAAACACTTCTCTCCCCCAGTCATTCCTCCAAAAAGATGATCCAAATACAGTAATTGTTTAATCTTTCACAAGCCAAACGCAACGACAGTGTATTACTTTTCTAAATCCAGTTTTGTGCGTGCTTGGAATATTCCAATTATATTAGACTCATAATATAACAACAAAGAAGAAAAAGTGACACTGCTGAGGTTGCTTAATGGGAAACGAGATGGGTCATCATATGAATCCACTATTCCTCCCCAATCCGGCAAACCCGGAATAATCAGGGAACAGCCAGAAGCATTTTGCAGGCTGCAGAATTAGAATAAATCTCTGATCAGCCCAGCCAGCGCTTACCTCGCCAAGAGGCAACAACGATACCGTCTGGGGGCGGAACAACACCATGATGCAAAATAAAAAGGTCAGCATTACATGGGAGAAAAGAGGGGGTGGGAGAGGAACGACGGAGGCAAACCCCAGAGGCCCTAATCACCTGCAAACACACACGTAAACAAACACACGGGGAAGACGATCGCCTTGGAAACTGGACTGGGGTAAAGCCTGGGTGGGTTTGCACTGATCCAAGAGCCGCTCGCAGCCAAGACTAACATCTAGGTTGCAAAAACCGAGCAAAGTCCGGGCCTCTTTAGGGTTGAAAGAGGGTGAAGTATTTCCCCACACACACACACACACCGGCCTTCTATCTCCAACATCAGCTGCTACTGCAGCAACGGATCCCGGCGCTTCCCACCACCACCGTTTATCAGTGTCCCCCCCCCGCGCCACTAAACGACGCGCACACGAACACACACACATACAATTACATTCAAAAGAGGGAGAAACCCGAAGGTTTT